CGTATTCTAGTTTCATGTTGGTATAAACTTTCCACGGGTTCGTATTCTAGTTTCATGTTGGTATAAACTTTCCACGGGTTCGTATTCTAGTTTCATGTTGGTATAAACTTTCCACGGGTTCGTATTCTAGTTTCATGTTGGTATAAACTTTCCACGGGTTCGTATTCTAGTTTCATGTTGGTAATCACAGGAGGTTGGAACAGAAACTCTCTGACCCATAATTTGGATGCAAACACATGGTTTGCTCCCTATATATGCAAGCTTTCATTCCAGAGCATTTTATTTTTAAAAATATCCATATATCAGGTAATTTTTTTTTCTAAATTAATACCATGTATTATTATATATTTATTTTGTATAAAATTTATAAGTGGTAATTAAAAGTTTAGAATCTATTAAGCTAGCTCTAGTAGGGGACTAGACACGTCTACTATGAATGAAAAAATAAAAAAAATGTTAAAAAATCTTTAGTCTAACTCCATTAGGATAAGTAATGTGTCTTTTATTAACACACAAAAATGCATTAACATTATGTTTAATATAAACTAGAAGACTCTCTTTAACAAAGTAAGTTATTATTTAGCAATTGTCTAAACATTTAATTAATCATGACATAAAATACATATCTTAATAATATAAACTAGAAGACTCTCTTTAACAAAGTAAGTTATTATTAGTTATATTATGTTTAATATAAACTAGAAGACTCTCTTTAACAAAGTAAGTTATTATTAGTTATATTATGTTTAATATAAACTAGAAGACTCTCTTTAACAAAGTAAGTTATTATTAGTTATATTATGTTTAATATAAACTAGAAGACTATCTTTAACAAAGTAAGTTATTACTTAGCAATTGTCTAAACATTTAATTAATCATGACATAAAATACATATCTTAATAATCTTTATTGTGATTATATGCGTTTCCATAATTATTTTATTCTATCATGTGACAGCGGAGCTACTTCTTACTGTGTTGAATAGTATTGATACTAAATTTCATAGCTATGTATAGAGAGACAAATTGACATCCTCATTAGTCTTGCTCGGTTTTAATTTTTATGATGAGAGTGCTCTCTCGGCATAAAATTGCGCGACAAACCCTAAATCTCCCATCTTTGTTTTCATGGCTGCCGAATTCATTAGAATGTGTCTTAGGGGATTGCTCAAATTCCCCTTCCCTGAAATCTGCTTTTATTGCTGCCAGCTTCTTAACTCCGTTTAGTAATTACAAGTCCGACATCATCGCTCCACGGCGGGCTTGAAAAAAAATTTAGCCTTAAAAATAAATGCCAAGAGTGCGGGTGTGATTTTAAAAAAAACAAGAAAAAGTTGTGATTTGGGTTGTAAACTCGCCGGAATTGAATAAGCTTGTCTCATCTCATGACATCATGCGCATCAAACTAAGAAAAAAGTGGAGCGATCATGATACAAAAAATGTTCATTAAAAAAACAACAAATATACTTTTCAATATAATAAAAAGTGTCACAAAGAAAATTAAAAATAAAAGAAAAGGAAATGACCCAAGTAAACATTCGCTTGCAAATACACAACCATTCATAAGATTATAATAATTTTTAAAGAAACTAGAAAAAATAAAGATAAAATGCAAAGCATTGAAGGATAAAAAGGTTCATTTCCACGTAAATCAACTTTTTAAACTCATATCTCGATTATGAAATCGATGTAACCCTATCGGAGAAAATAATGACCTTTAATTTCTAACCAACTTAATGTTAAGAAATTAAATTAAAAATAAAATTCAATTTAATAGAAAAAGTAACATAAAAGAATGATTAAATGTTAAAGAAAAAAAAATGAAAATAACATTGATTGATTCATGAATGAAATTAAAAAAAAAACATCTTATAAAAGACATAAATTAAAAAACTAAATTAAAAAAAAAAGACATCAAATCTTAAACCAACTTCTTATTATTAAAGAGCATAATTGAAAAAAAAATCATTTTGATAAAAGGCCTAAAAAAATTCATTGATTCAAGGGTGTGCAATTAAAAAACAATAATCAAACATTCAAATAAGAAATCAAAACAAAAACCCAAAATTAAAAGAAAAAAGAGCACATCTGGAACAAAAATAAAATAAGAGAAAAATAATATTTCAATGTTAACGAATTAAATTTTAAAAAAATCAATTTAATAAAAGCCCCAAAACAAAAAATAGTAATATAAAAGAATGAGGATCAAATGCTAAACAAAACAATAAAGGAGGGAAATAATATTCATTGATTTAAGGGTGAAATTGAAAAAAAAATCAAATTAAAAACTTGAAATCAAAAGAAAGAATTTGAAACCAAGACAAAATAAAAGGAAAAATAAAATCTCAATCAATGGTGACATCAAAAACAAACTTAAACGTTTACAAAAGAAATCAAGATAAAAATCATACAAATAAAAGTAAGAAGATGGAATCAAATATCTAAACAAAATAAATGGATAGCATGGATTTTTTTTAATTGGGCTACATGTTTTTCAAGGCAAAAGAAAAAAAAAAGAAAGAAAATATCATTGAAGCCAAATCATATAACAAAACACTACAAACACCATCTAGTTTGAAAAAGGATGTTGTGAGAGTTTTAATATCATCAAGGATAGTATTTTTCACCTCCTAACTTTACTACATGTATTACTTAAAGTGTGTAAAGTGGCTTTACATGCTGGTATGTATTGTGCATGCTCTAATAAATTTTATTATTTAAATATTAATCATTCTTTTTAAAATATAAAATTATCCATGTCTTGACTCCATAATTAAAAAAATATACAATAAAAAGATAAATAAATCCTTAAACTATAATTTAAAAGTTTATGATTTCAAGGTATAATTGAGTAAATTCTCAGTACATTTTTTAGGGTTAGTGAAATTGAGTTTTCTATTTATATCTTTTTTAAATGGATTTACAATTTAGATTGGATTTGGTTTAGCAAATACGGTTTTATGTTTTAAAACCAAATCCAAACCAGAATAAATTAGTTTTATAATTTTTAAATTAGTGTGATTGATTTTTTATTTCAGTTTTTTATTATTAATTTCTTCTTGATTTCTACAATTTAAGTGGTTGAATTTATTTATTTTAACACCATCATCAGTGAGTATTTTCTGAAATCTCTATTCCGAAGGAGGTCATGCTTAGATAATCAACATGCTTTCATTCTTTTCCAAATATCAATTTGATCGTACACAAATTAAGAGGGAACAATATCCTGAGATCATGAAATTTACCCTGTATACAATATCAAAGTATGTGGCCCAGTTATCTTTGATTAACTTTAAAAAGTAAAATCAAATCAAATCGATGGTGATAGATTTAAACTAGCATATCAATCAATGAGTAGTACAATTATTTACTAGCTTCCGTCCGTGGCAAAGCTTCTTAAGTATTCAGGATTTATAGAGTACTTTCTGCCAGGATTTTTTTGTTAAAATAAATTATAGAAGCAAATTCAAGGTAATTCTAGATATCCACTCGAAGCCACTGGTATTAACATGGAAGGTGATGGAGACCAAGCACTAGTAGACAGTTATTGGAACTGAAGTTTGCCCAAATACAGGCTTTAGAAAGCCAAAGAACATGTGAGCTGAGGTAATGCAGTTTCAATCAGAAATGGTTTACATGCGCTGTCATCACAGAAATCATTTTGAATTTTTTTTATCATTTATCGAAACTATCTGTTTGTTCCATTGGAGCTTTACACAGCGTGCTCGGTAGCCCTCCAGGGCTACATTTAATCTTATGATGTGTTTTGCGTTTTGTCTCAATTATTAATTTAGAAATATTTGATTAATAGTGTTATATGAATCCATTAAAAAGTAAAAGTCTCTTATTTTAATCCTCCTATCCACTTACTGAAACCACAGTTGCTCGATACTATAATGCTACTTGACTATCGTGCAAAGATTGTTGTTCTTATCAAGGATGTCTCTAGCTATTATCAACTTTTGTCTCTAAACTAAAAACACTTTCCTCATTTTTCAGCTGACTCCAGTTCATAAAGTTGGCTGTGGGGCACGGTCAGTGTTTTATAGCCAACAGGCAACAGACTTTTTCCAAACGAGCTAAGAAAACACATCTAATGATTGTGATATACTATAATTTTTTACGGCTTACTCTGAAAACACACAACTTGATCGGTATTTTTGGCAACTTAATTAGCCATCCACGGCAGAAATTTCCAGGAAGCGGTGTAGATCATACGGCCAGAATGTGATTAATAGTGTTGTTATCTGGCATGAGTAAAACCAGACTCTTAGGAGCTCCATGGCACCAGAACTGTGAAAAGGTTTAGATTTTAGCCATGCCTATGATGTTTACAGCGAAAGCAAAACATGGCAAAGTTTACGATAAAAGAAAATGCAGAATCAGGATACTTATTAAATATAATCACAATTCAGTATTGTTCATCTGAGAAGAGACTTTCAGAAATTAAAATGCCCCACCTTGAGGTCGACCAAGGAAAAGGCAAAAGGATAATTCAGCTTATTGTACCCCGATAAGAAGAGATCTTCTTCTTTGTCACTTTGTCCTTGAACTCATTAAACTCCGACATGATGTTCTTCTCAGTGCCCACTTTTGCATTTGAAGTCTTTCCACGAAGTAACTAGTAGAGTACCATACGAGTAACAGTTAGTAATATTAAAACAATATGGAAATTGCATGCGTGTAAAAATGTCAAATTCGAAAGGCACATATATGGGCCATCTATTACAGCTAATGTCTTTAAAATGCACCTGCAAATACAGATCTATCAGATTTGTGACAAATAAGATGTTGCAACGCTGCTAAAGATATAATGATCAATGTGAAATCATGTAAAAATAAATAAATTATCAACCTCATACCCAAACGAGTACATGGCTTATACAGAAACGTATGCTCATAAGGTCCAGGACCCAGTGTCATTTGGCCACATTATTTGATCAATGACAAGGAATGGCCAACCCGAATCTTGGAACTATCTCTGTGGTTCTCTCAAGCCACCTTCATCTGAGATCATTGGAGCTTCCAGGTTGGATTTGACATCTTATTCATAAACAGTTCGACTTGTAATTATGAAATGCAACTCCTATCCTAGCCCCTCATAACAAGCAAAGTGATTGAAACTGAGGTTTTCTCAAGAGAGAAGAAAGATGAAGGTAAACTCTAATATACTCGTGAAAATGAAAGTATTAATCTTTCTCAATGCTTCTTGATCTAAATGCTGAATCCCACTTTATTGCAGTTACTAGGTTGGATGCACCGTAAGCTTCGTCAAAATGGCAGTGAACCACTGAAGGATTTTGCTATTGGTAGGTATCTTCCATTTTTGTTTTCCCGCAAAACATTTCCTATTTCCAATAGGCATGAACATAGAAATGATGACCATTAGATTTTTGAGAGGGTAGAAGATTATCCATGTAGAGGAAGAGGCCAAATGTGGGTGCAAAATTAATAGGTTGCCATGCATGACTCAGATCATACACTTGCACAGAAGACAGATTCTTGGCTTTCAGGATCTTATTAATCTCCTAGCAAAGGTAATTAACCATCATGAGAGACCTGATGTGCCCACTTCCAAAGGAAAACAAAAATCATGAGCATATTATAAATAGAATTATTTTCAGACTTTCGGAAAAAGGCGATAGTTTTCCATGCTGCGTGCTATTATGACTGGAATACCATCCATAAGACCCCGAACGCAGAAAAAATGATAAATCTTGTACCTTAGTTTAGCAAAATACGGTTAAGAACCAAGGCATGGCATTCCTGCCAAAATGCACTACTAGAATCAAGTTCATTTAACGTTTTCCTTCTTTTGTGTGTATGTGTGTGGCAGGCAATGCTTGCAATTGCCTTACAGGACAGCCATCACTTGATGACCACCAACACTACAGAAAACCGAACTATGGGACCAGAACATATAGGCAAGCACAGAAAGAGCAGCTTCGAAATTCTTTTTCTGGCTTAGAAACAGCTCGAGTAGAAGAAGAAGAAAAGGAAGAAGAAGGAGACTACGAAGAAGAATCATCAGCTGAAATATCCGAGCTATTCCATGGTTTCCTGGCAATCGGTACCTTTGGTTCAGAGCCAATCAACACTGACCCATCAACACCAACATTTCCCATCTCTGTCGAGAATATAACTGAGAAAGAGACTGAGGTGACAGAGAATGAACTAAAGCTCATTAATGATGAGTTGGAAAAGGTTCTGGCAGAAGATTGCTGCAATGACTCATCAGGAAGGAACAGTTATGTTAGTGCTGGAAGAAGCAGTCATGGCAGCACTATTACACTCAGTGGCAAGCCAGTGGAAGGGCGAGATTCCAATGCAGTCTGTCCCCTGCAGGGATATCTCTTTGGATCATCAATTGAACTTTCAGAGACAACACCTGTGGCAAAGAAGGAACACAGGACATCACTTGGCGAGCTATTTCAGAAAACAAAAATAGCAGAGGAAAATTCTGGGATTAAATTTGAGAGAGAGGAGAAGCGCATGGAGAAGGAAGCTGACAAATCTGCCGTGAATCTCATGAAAAAGACTCTGAAGAAGAAAATGCTCCATGCTTCTTCTAGGAGCTCTACTGCCACTGGAGGAGGAACTCTTGATTCTGCTTCAGCAGAAACAAAACTGCGCAAGGTATGTCTACAGGTATCATAACTTCTAAACTAAAATCATTATTGGAAGTATATATAATTAGTAGGCCACTTCGAGAATCCCAATTTCAAATCCCAATGGATTGCGATGGGAGGTTTGTGAGATGAGGGAATACAGATACTGTCCCTGTCGCTTTACTCGAGACCTGCTGACGACTAATGAACTTGAAAAGAAGAATTAGGCAAAAGTTACGCAATTCACCAACTCTAACAGTTTTTATCTCCCAGCAATTCACCATATTTTCTTCTGCTTGATGTGTGGTATGCAGATCCTACACATGTTCCACAGGAAAGTTCATCCTGAAAGCTCAACATCCACGAGGAAGGCCGGCAAGCCCCAAAAAAATGAGAATAAGAAGAGCAACAAGGGGGGTCAGGTACTCCCGAATGAGGACATCACCATAGTTCCTCGAACCCTTTCAAGGAGGAGCACAAGACGCTTCAAGAGTCAATCTAACCCACCCCACTTCACGTTTACGGGCTGTGAATCTAACGAAAGCAGGGAATGCTGGATTAAAACAGATGCAGACTGTAAGTATCCCTGACAGAACTGCTCTTTTACAGGACCGTAATTGGGTAATCAACCTTCAAGTTACATGTTCACTAAATTTATGGTCATCACAACTTGACTGTTGAGAACTCGAGTTCTGGAAAATATGGCTGGGATCAGTTTCTGCCTCTTTATGATCAATGAAAACACAAACACATCTGTTCTTTGGCATTACATGGGATATTCTTCTGTTTGAGATTCTACTCTAGATTCTTTTGAGTGTGACTTCTTCTATAGTCTCCATGTTATTTTCAAGCATTGTGAAGATTGATTGTTCGGGGACATGGTGTGGATCAGCTAATTTTAGCATCAGAACCTGGCATCATATGTCTAATTTTGTGCTTGTTTTGGTGGAAACTGTCACTGTCCTAATTCACTTTGTGTGTTTTGCTTTGCAGATCTGGTTTTGGAGCTGTGAAAGGCAAATGCAGCTGTCAAGTATGGTTTTAAAGTATCTCCTTCAATTGGAAAGAAGTAACGTTGGGTTTGAGAACATTTCCGTATAGATGATTGTTGCTTGTAATATGTGAGTGAGATTATTATATCATGAAGAACTCGTGTGGGAAAAATAAATAAAAAGGGCAGTTCTCACAGTAACCTGCCTTTTGAGTGATTGTCATGTAATGTAAGGTATATCTCTTGTAAGCATATGGCAGTTATAATCCAAATGAATTTCGAATGTCAACCGTCATTTCCTGGGGTAAATGAGCTGCAAACGACAGATTGGCCCCAGACAAAGAGGTCACACACCAAACCGAGCCAGAAGGGTACAAGCAAGTTACACGGGAAAAGGTAGCTTAAGCTGCCAAAGCTTTTTTACACAGGAGTGGTTAACAGTAACACTAAGGCTTCGTTTGGAAATGCAGTAAGTTATTCTAAGTGTGCAACAAATTAACCACTCATGTATGGTGAGATAGTGAAAGAAAACATAACAATATAACTGGAATTAAGCGCAGAATATATTAAACAGCACTAAATGACACGTTAAATTAATGATTGTTATTAAAAATGGCTCCATACGAAGCTAGCTTGTAAAAAAAGGCAGAAGAAGAAGAAGAAAGTCTTGCTATTGCGGGTCGAGGAGATGGTCACGCAGCAGAAGAATTGAATCCACGCCAAGCTTAATCATTATTAAGAATATTCAAGGACTATATTGCAGATGTGTCGCTTTTGGTACTGATACCAGCTATCATGTGTCTACTATTCTTTTCTGCTGTTGATAGCCTCCTGATTCGTGCAAATGTTTTGATTATAGATTTTTGTCTTGGAGATCTAAGAGGCAGATGCAGCAGTCAAGCTGCTACATTTTGTCAAATCTTATCCATTTACGAGTAGTTCTACCTTTTCCAGTCTTTATTATGGGTAGTCTTCTGGGTCATTGTTGGCCGTATCCCTATAAACCAGATTGATACATAATTTAATGTGCTAAATCTGTTTCAAGGGGAGCATATTCATGGAGGTGTCTCTACCATCTAATTGTTAAAACCATCCTTGACTATGACTACACATGAGCTGGGAATCATACAGGATGAAAAAGGGTAGCAGGCGAGCCTCATCCTCAACCTTGCAGACCCTTTTTACACATGGATGACGACTAGACAGGTGACCTATCCAAAACACCGGAGCGAATCACTCACCAGAGTGACCAAGACAGGCGACGATATTTGTTCTCTTTTAAGTAAAATACAGAAAGAATAGTTGATGACCAGGATACCGAAAGGCAAAGTATGGAGATCAGAGAAAGTTTCACAATGAGTAGAAAACATTATGCGGTGAAATTGCTTACATGTAAAACTTCGACAGAGACACCTTCATGCCCCCAGATTCATCAGAGTACCGTAATTTTGTGAAAAACATTACCCCATGCATCATCCCAAAACGCACCCACGTAATAACCTTGTTATATAACAGAATACGGAGCACTACGTTGCTACTTTTCGGTGTTTTAATAATGTTATTGGCAATTCATAAAAATAAAAAGTTAAAGTACCATTATTAGCTGTTATATTGATAAGGTCTAATTACAGACTTTATTTTTTCTTATATTTCAAGTTCATTTTTTCCCCTTCTTCATTATAGTTATAATATGTTGTTTATATAATCTTTATCTGCTACAAATGCTATTATTATGTATATTTAGAAAATCTATTAGCAAATCATGTGTTCTTAAAGTTCATTACGACTTAAATATAAATTCACAGCAACAATGCTTACAACCCATTATTCAACATCCATGAAGTCCGCAATCGCGACCACAACAATAGTAAGCTGAAACCGCAATTTAACATTATGGTGTGATGTGATACAGTTTGTATTTAATAATACGGTGTAGAGATAACAATATTTTTTTAATTAAAAGTATGCTAAAATAATATTTTTTATATTTTTTTATTAGTATATCAAAACCATAAAAAAAAAATCTAATATGTATTAATTTGATTTTTTCAAATAAAAAATAATTTATATATCACTTTACAAGTATATAGAAAGAGAGAGATACTGTACATAGAGATATAATTGATAGGCTTTGCTCTTACCTCCTACAATACTATTAATGACTGATTTTAACCTTGTAAAGAGCTACAACTTCAATATATAAAGAATGCAACTCTCACAATGAGAGGTGTTCAAACCAAAACCTCAGATTCTCTTACATGGTATTTTCTTAGCTTAGCTGAATCTTTCTGATTTCTTCTTTTTTTTTTGTACTTTGTTATGGGTAGTTTCAGAGTGCAAGTCTTCCATATTCTTTTGGGTATTGGCGGAAGTGGTTCTCTAGTCTGGAGTTCGGGTTTCTAGTTGTAGAGTTCTCAGCCTAGTTCTCAAGAATTATATCTGGGTGGAAAATCTGTATAATAGATGTTGAGTTCGAGTCAAGACATATATTTTTTATAAAAGTTTAGAATAACTAGAGTTTTATTTATTTATCAATACCCATAAAAAATGCTTTCCTAAGAAATAGATTTTCTCGAATCCAAAATAAAAAATTCTCAGCCTAGATATTGTTAGTTTTTTTATGGTGTGATGGTTTTCTTTATTCTATCAATTGTTTTTTTTTTTTTGTAATTATTATGCTAGGAGAAAATTATATTCTAAGCCTTACTAGAATTCTAGTTCTATGTTTCTGAAAAGGAAGGAGCCATGGATCATTTGGATGGATCTACTATCAAAATGCCATGATCTTTAAAAAAAAAATCATATGTAAAAATTTAACAATAATCCGATAATCGGATATCCCATTATCATTGTTTAGAATGCTAATCTAGTCATTTACATAATCTATCTGGATCAATTCCCATCTAGTATCACATCCTCATTCACATAATCTTTCTAGGTCAATTCCCATCTCGTATCAGATCCTCAATGAGACTTTAGTTTCTACATCAGCATGAAAATGGAATTTCACCATTTCAATTACTCCCTAGTTAAGTTGGCAGTTGGCCCAAGCATCTTAGGACTGACAGGGGTTTAGGACAACAGGTAACGAGCAATTTCTTCCGCTATAAATTTCATAATTCAGAAAACACACAGAATGGCATAATTTTCTTTTATCCAACCATAAGCTGGGAAGGCTTTCAAGTAAAACCTGGATGAATTTGCCATATTTTTTCTAGTTAATTTAGGATTCTTTTTATTGAGTTAAACTCTTTTATTATCATTTTAAAAAAAAATCGTTAATAATGCTTTTAAGAGCTGAGTAATAAAATTCTAAATTGAATTTTTTGTATGATAACCCATCAGGCAGAATGTTGTGTTGTAATATTCAGTGTTGATCATAATAAATAAATAAAAATTGAGTGATAAAATTCTGAATTGAAATTATTGTATGGTAACCATATTAGGCATAATTTTGTGTTCCTTGTGATTGCAATATTTCTTGTGATGTTTCAGTTTTGAATCACTTCACCAACACGTTCTAATACAAATCAATGGTGCAAAAAACAATGAAAGGAAAAGGGAACAGACACAACCATAGCATGGAAATGTCATTAGCATGTACTGTCCATGAAGTTCACCAGCAATTCCTGAACCATGCCTCTATCTGGTATCTTCCCAGCAGCACCATATATTGGAGCTAGGCCTCCATTTATTGGACCAGGATTCTCTTTCACCTGGAGGATTTCAGGGGAAAAAAAAGGGGGGGCGAAAGATGAAAAATCAAACGAGTGAGACCATATCCGGAGGTCCTTCCCACTAGCACCTCCCAAAAGCAAACATAACAACCCTAAAGATGAGTAAATTACAAAGTACTTTGATAACTCCTTTGGCGAATACAACTTACAGTTTGTACGGATTCCTTCAAATCCCGGAGGAAGTCCTCAAAAACGGGTGCATGCTGAAGGGTAATGCAGATATGAATGCTGATTCAACCACATGAAAAATTGTAATCAGTGTATAAAAATATGCTCATAATTGCATGCTCAGAAGCAATTCATGAGACTGAAATACAACAGAGAATAAACTACTTACACCAGCCACTGCAAACAATTAGAATAATAATATTAAATCGATCGCCTCACATCAATGAACAATAGCTTAGAGCCAGAGGTGGCTATCTTCTAACAAGAATAATGAGGACATGGGAGAACCAAGCATAAATGCCCTATATAAACACAGTTCTCCTTCAAAAACAAAAACCTACCTGTTGGGTCTTTGCAAAGCATTCAAATGCCAGCCTTTGGATGACATGATATCATTGACTTCAAATATGTCTAGATCATTAGATCCAAATGCCACAATTGTCATGTCTGGCCTTCCAATGATAAATAACTCTGGTATTTCTTTAATCCTGTAAAAAGAATGAATCATTCTCAATTGTTCAACGAATTTACAACCCAAGAAAATAGGAAAATGAAGTTAAAAACAACACAGACCCTTTCTGTATTCTCTTTGATACTTCCATTATTGCTTTAGTGTTTTCCAGGTACCCTACAGGATGTAATGAAACATCAGGTTAAACAGAAGCATTCAATGGAACATCTGGATAGGCAGTAGGGGAAAACAACATGATAGTACCTTCTAGCCCCAGAGCCATCAACGCTGCCCAAGCCCCAGCAATCAAACCTCCAGGCCTGCTTCCAGCAATAGTAGGAGAGACATAGAGCCCACCTGACCACTCAGTCACTGCAACAACAACAACACAAGGAAAACACAATTAGAATACCAGAAGCACAGGCTTCAAACAGCCAACTAGAAAAGCCTATTGTATAAAACTTGATATTAAGATAAACTCTACCTCTTTTCCATGTTCATAATGCTTATGAATGCCCAGGAAATTTAATAAAGTAGGTCTTGAAAATCATCCAAATATAAGGCCTCATTTGTTTGATAAACTATTTAATAAATAGTAAAACTTACCAGCAACGAATTGATGCTGTTGGGAAACAGCCAAGCGAACAAATTATCAGTAGCATGCCCCCCAAGATGTCATCACAAGAAACTCATATCAGAAAAAAATCAAGAATTTAAAACAAAAGAACCACCAATAAAAAAACATGAAATCCACAAGTCAAGTAACACATTTGATATGGATCTCGATTATTAACAATGTGAGTGATGCAAGATTTCTGCAATTTGAATAACTGATGATGAAAAAGGGAACAAATAATTAACCATGTG